TAATCCAATAACTTTCGAAGATTTCGAAATGAACAGTGCACGTCGTTAATTTCTAATCGTGCTCAGTTCTAATTATGCTTGTTGTTAATTGTTCCTGGCCTTCTAGTGGCCAGGAAGAGGCCCAGGATATGATTATTGCGAAGGCCTTACGGCCGGTGCCGCCGACCCTGGAGGGCGACCCATGCGTTCTCCAATGTGGCGGGGGGGGCCTCTTGGGGCTTCCTGGGGGCCTCTTGGGGGTCTCGTGGTGGCCTCTTGGGGGCATCTTGGGGCTTCCTGGGAGCCTCTGTCGCCGAGGGCTCGTCGGCCCCCTCGTCTGGGCACCCTGGTGGAGCCGTTTGGGGAGCCTCTGGGGCCATCTTGGAGGCATCTTGGGCGGTCTTGAGGCTCTCTTGGGTCATTTTGGGGCTCTCTTGAGGCCTCTTGGGCTATCGTGGGGCAATCTTGGGGGCATCTGGGGCCGTCTTGGAGCGTCGGCAAGTTGAAACGGCGAGAACGCCAGAATCTGTGAACAACTTTGAGGAAATCATTGATTTTTCCCTCTTCGTGCCCTCTTGGGAGTGCTCTTGGAGACTTCTTGGAGCGTCTTGGCAATCTCTTGGGCCGTCTGGAGGCTACTTTGGCGTCTTCGACCGATGGTTCGGCGATTCGGGGCCCTCTGGAGCCGTCTTGGAAGCCTCTTGGGGCACTCTTGGCCAGTCTGGGGGCTTTTCTAGGTCCCGGGACATCCCGGGGGGGATGCGTATCTGCCCCCCCCCCCCCCCCCGGGACCCCCCCCGGGACCCCCCCCCCCCCCGGCGGGGAAGGGATCAAAGGGAAGGGGCTTCCCTTCGACTCAGCTACGACGTTGCTCAATTTCGCTTTGCCTTCGACTCAGCTACGACGTTGCTCGATTTCGCTTTGGTTTCGCTTTGGCTGGCGCGCCTGAGGGGAGGGCGACGACGACGACGACGACGACGACGACGAACGGAAGAGCATCGACGACGACGACGACGACGGCGACGACGCGACGACGATGACGACGACGACGACGACGACGACGACGACGACGACGACGGCGGCGACGACGACGACGACGACGTTCACGACGAACGGAAAAGCATCTTCCACACGCCGACAGGGTCGGCGGATGCAATCGCTTCGCTCATTCCGCCGGGGCTGGAGCGCTATTCGGGGCCTCTTGGGGCCGTCTTGGGGGCCTCTTGGGGGCTTCTTGGGAGCGTCTTGGGGGCCTCTTGGCGGCGTCTTGGGCCCCCCTGGGGCCTCTTAGGGGGCTCTTGTTGGCTCCTTGGGGCGGGAGGGGGGGGAGTCGATTGCAGCCACCCCCTCGGAGGCCACGATCCTCGTCAGGGGTGGCGAAAAATAGC